TTTTTTGTTAGAATACCACCGTGAAGTAACGTTAAACAAAACTTCACGGTGGCTTTCAGAGTAATTGACACCACTGAGAAACGAACTAGGGGATTTGGGCTCGTAGTGTTGGATCAAGTCCCATATTCATGATTAAAACTAAATTTATCGAACAAGCAAGGGCCAGTCTAGTTACTTCACGCCGGTAATTTTACAAGGCTTGTCCTTTGCCGGTTTTTTTTTTTTTGTTTTGTTCAGCACTGTGGCTATCTTCCGTAAATTATCGCTCTTGGAGGACTGCTCCTTCCGGGCTATGGTCTTGTCGGCTACCCCAATGCATTTCTCGAAGTTGGGTGAATTTCAATCCACAAAATCAGCGCGAGCATGTCTTCTTCCTTCCTGAGGCCAACTCTATTAAAATGAAATTACGACAAATTGGTGATCGCGCAGTACCTTGGGAATTATGGAATTATTGGGATTCACAAAAGGTACTGTATTCAATCTCGAGGTGCTGATTCTGAAAGGATTTGAGCAGCGCTGATTAGTCCATGGACTTTACTAATACATTTTTAGTACTTGAAGTACTAGAATATCATGTGATGGTCCAGGTATGCCATTTTGCTTCTTAGGTTCTAACGATGCGTTTGACTTGGACCATGCTAATACTGCTGACAGTTTGTGCTCTGCTTACACGGGCTGATCCTGCATCCAGTGTGAGTATTCCCAGTTCTCAAGCTTCGAGCAGCGCGTTTGTTCCAATTCATCGGTACTTGAGGAAGCACACGCGAGCAACTTTCGATGGAGATCACGTCGCCTTCGAAGACCGAACGAACGGTATTAAGCTTCCAGCGATGATTAAAAACCTCATCAAGTCGAGTGGGCAGACGCTAACAAAGCTTGCAACAACATCGAAGTCCGACAAACAGGAAACCATAGAAAATCTTTTCCAGAGCCTCAATGTTGGAGCGGTGGAGGGGAAGCTTTTTGAGAGCGCACCGTACCAAGCGTGGGCCAGCTCTGTAAGCAACATCTACAAGAAGAAACCTGAACTGGGTCAAGAGACCATGTTTAGAACACTGGTAGCTCACTATGGTGATGAATCTCTGGCCAAGCTTTTAGCTCAAGCACGTCAAGACTCAACGACGAAAATCATTGCAGAACAGTTTGAAAACATTCAGTTCAACAAATGGATCGTTCAGAGGAAAACGGCGGACGACATCTACGGTCTTCTAAAGCTGGACGACGAAGTGGACAATGTTTTTATGAACCCATCGATAGGAACATGGGTCTCCTACGTAAGTAGACTTGACACGGTGGACCCGTACAAATGGCTGGCAGTGAAGCTGACGACGCGTTATGGTGAAGATGGATTAGCTCGCATGGTAACTGTAGCAAAAAGGCGTGGCAATTATCTTGACAAGCACACGGCTAATCGTGTGGAGTTTGCACAGATCAAGAGCTGGGTGAACGATGGAAAGACGTTAGATGACGTTTTCATACTCCTGCGACTGGATAGAGAAAATGTCTTGAATAATCCAGCTTTAGACACGTGGATATTTTTCGCAAAGCGGCTGGACAAGGAAAACCCGTATATGTCAATGTTTTCGGCGATGAAGAAACGCTACGGTACCGATGTTGCTCTTGATTTTTGGAGAGTTGAGAAAATAACTGCAGACCAGGCATTTAACTATCTCGGCCTTCGAATAGGTGATGAATTGTTTAAAAATCCACATCTGAATACCTGGGTGTCTTACGTCAACAAGCTCAACAAGTACGAAAGATCCCCAGATGAGTTCGCCGTTGTCTCAATGTTAGAGGAGCGCTTCGGTGATGGTATGGATCTTGCACGCAAGCTTTATGCTGCTGAGAAAGTCGCTACGGTCACAGAAGATACTATTACCAGCTTGCGGACACTGCAGTTCAAGAAGTGGAGCGAAGCCGCCTGGGTGCCCAATTACGTTGCACAAATGCTAAGGAAACGGGACGACGTGAGCAACGGGAGTATAATGGGCGAGTACCTCAGTTTTTACGATAAATACTGGGAAAACTTTTTCAAGACTTGGTTGGTAAAGCGTCGATAAGTCCGAACAGTCACCAATTTTAAAGGACCGCATTCGAGTCCAGGAATTTCTTAGCAGATCATCAATGCTGCCGATTCTTTTGGTGCTCTCGATAAATCAAAACGACCAGTAGATCCGACAGCTTCTACAATCTCGTAGTTATCACTGCCACCAATCAATAACTAGATACTTAAGTACACAACAATAAAACGTGTGTTCGTAAGTGCCACAATTGCACTCAACTTTTTCTAATCATCGCAAGTAACGCGAACTCCTCGAAATTGTCCAACAAAAAGTGTACTCAGTTGCGAAGAAGGAATACTATTCTCGTTTCAAATGTTGTTATACATTGTGCAGCGTATTGCTTGCTGCGAGGTTTTCTATCCAGTAACAGCTACTCAATTCTCGAGCACGACGCGATAGCGCACTGTGCCGTTGCGCACCATTTGGATGCCCTCGTT